GATGATACTGTAAGCTCAGTGACAACTTCCCTCCGAGAACATCCTGTTTCAAAGCTCGCCACGGTGAGATACTCTTGATTAAGTCCTTCACTTGGCAGCTGTTTTCAAACAGTTCCCGATGCAGCCAGTCGCACTGCAGCATTTTGTCCGATTTTTCAAGATACACAGAATACTGCGTTCTGTGACAGTCGAAACACCAAAACCAAACAAAATAAGACAATAAATTTGAGGCAGGGCAGTGACCTTGACAATAATATTTTTTTTGCTTACGTGACACCTCAATCCATTAAAACAAAAACAAGACTGAGAAATATTTTTTGACGGTTGAAGTCATTTATTTATTTCAGCTAAGAAACACTTCCTTAGCGATGCTGACTCACTCCATGGCTCAAGTTGCACACTAGTGGCTTTTATATTTACACTGTGTTCCTCATTCACTCACTGAACTGCGTCATTTTTTCGAATGATTGTGACACACTTTCTACTCCAAATTGCGACACATTAGCTTTCTTTTCCTGCTTTCACATCACGCATAAACAGACTCTCTTCGAGTATGAGGTGCTTCAACTTATCCGACCCCCGACACATGTCGTAATCGACATGACAGGTGTAAATTCATCACCCGATCTTTATCTTCGACTCAAAAGCAGTGCTGCACTCCTGTCTACATGGCTGTTCGTCATTCCAGAACTTTATTTTACAAACCTGAATTTGAGAGACAAACTGGACGAGACACTTTTCCAGGCCTACCTGTTTGACAAATATACACCTTGGTTTCCATAAACGGTTAGATTCTAGCTTACAAATAGAAATGTCCACAGCAGTGAATGTTAGTTGTCTTGGTCTCATGATGTCAGAATGTGAACACCATGTCGTCCAATGAAAATGAACCACAATATTTATTGGTCGATTCACTGATCAAACACCTGATTCAAATTTTGCTGTTCAGCTCCTTGTTAGGCAACAGAAAGTTGTGCAAAAATTACTGAAACGTTGACGAGTTGGACATACGCATTCAAAACTTTACAGGCCAAATTAAATTCACCTTTTCATCCTGAAATTTCAGTTCAAAACCAGATATCCCCAACTTTTTGTGAGCAGTTTATTTTTCCTACACCACCTACTAGTGCATCATGAAGTGCTTTCATTCAGATTTTTGACAGATTGCAAACTTTTTTTTTAAAATTTCAGAAAAAACTTTCATGTCCAAAATATCTTCCTATCCCAATACATGCAAATGCAAGATAAGATCAGATAAGAAAAGGTAACCTTTAATTGCCCCACACTGGGGAAATTTGCAGTCTACAGCAGCAGAATTGGGGGAGGGTGGGATAGAAAAGAAAAAAACAAAGTGTTGCATGCACAAGTAAATGTTTCAGAAAAAGAACTGTACACAGTATAGAATGCAATTTAAATATAAGACATCGATATGTTGTTTCATCTTTCCTCAAATTTGTTTCTTACTCGTTTTTAAAAATGTAAAAAAAAGAACAATACAAATTAGAATTTTCTTTCTTTCATCATCTCTTTATTTTTTGAAATTATACTACTGTTATGTTGCAGGTGCAATGGACCTGGTTCAAAATAGAATCTCAAAAAATCTAGAAAAAAACTATTTTTAAAATGTTGGGAAACAATTTGGATGAAATGTCTTGTCAGTCAGAAGGTAGCTGTTCAACTCTTAATAACAATCACGGGTATGAATAATTTTGGGCTAAAGAATATTGAATTAGACTTTTTGCTCTGCTGCTACATTCACATGGCGTCTTGAAGTCATTTTCATGAGCAGTTTTAGTCGCATTTTGTTTCAACTTGCCAGTTGAAATCCACTAAGACTGGCACTGAATTATCCATGAACAAACACATTTCCTCCACTGTGGACATCAAAAGCAAAAAGTGTTGTGACACTCAGGACTTTACGCCAGTGTTTTGTTTTTTATTACCACCATCATGAAGCCTCAGGTACAAAATGATTCAGGAGCCTCGTTTTTGTCTACCCAGGAACATTTGGATTTTACTTTGTGCTGTGTCGAGCATTTCTTATCAGTATTATTGCAACGACTTCACAGAAACCACAATTACCTCAAGAAAAACTGGATTTGTTCAAATTAAAATGTGACTTGATTCTCATGTGAAAATGCAGCAGGTATAAAAATAAGTTTACATCATCTTTTCAAGTTTTTTTTTAAATTAAATACATTTGTCTTTTTCACCATATATTTGATTTTTACAGTCTATATTTTATGGGTGACAATTCATGTGACTTTAAAACTATTTTTACAGTATCTGAGCACAACCTCTTTCAACATTTAAATTAAATGATTCAGGCTACATTTGGTAATATTTTCTAAGCAACGGCTAGACACATACAGATAAACGGCCTGATTGTCGAATGTGTCTAAAAGATTCTCCATGGGAATTATCCTGTGGTGTGACAATGAAGAATCTCTCCCAGATTTCTGGTTTGGGGGAGGAGACTCCCGATTGTTGGTGGAGATATTGTTGTGTGTAGGGTGCTGTGTTAGTCACTTTGTGTACACCACACTCTCTGATTTTTTTTTTTTACTCATCATGTATTGGTGGGAGTGCTCTCATTAAAAAAAACAACAAAAACGTAAAGCGGGGTACACACATTCTGCTAATCCAAATTAGAGCATTTTTTCCACTTCCGATTAAAGTCAGCAAAGGCCCTGATTCTCCTGAGCAGTTATCCAGAGTGTTTAGGGATTTTTAATCTGATTAGAAAATGGTCAGGGCCGGCAATCGTAAACGCAAAACCTATTCAATGCGATACTAAATCCTTGTCCTCAAGTGTGTTTTATTTAAAACTTCTGGTTTGTGGGAGACTCGTGATTGTAGATGGATATGATATTTTAACGTGTGTAGCGTGTTGTGTTCTGTCATCTTGGGTACAGTACACACTATAAGACTAGTAGGCACACACTGTCGATATTTTTTTCCCCTCGTCCTGTATGGGATCTCTCAGATTTAAAATAAGGATGTTAAAATAAAAGTATGCATGTCCCCTGCTTAAGTGAGTCAAATACTACATGTCTGTTTTTTGTTTTGTTAAATAACACATTTTTTCTCCCTTTTATGCATGTAACCCAACTCAATTTCGGTTGGAATTTCTATTCCTGTTTGCGAAAGAAAGTTGATCAAATAATATTAACGGATTAATTTTCCTTCTCTTCCTTTCTAAAATGCAACCACACCAAACCCCAGTGACCCTTTGACTGATTTGTAAAACCACAATGTCATCGTAATGGCATTTTAGCCGCAGTGTTAGCTGCTAATGTTAGTCACTAATCAGAGCAAAAAGCCAACCAGACAGTTCACCCATAGCAGTTTCAATGTCCTCAGTGAGTTTTGGTTAGCAACACTTTGCAAAAATATTTTGATGTAATTTTAAGGAGGCAACGATTCTTATTGACTAACCTTTAGGACTGTAACGCATAGCGAATAAATGTTAAGCGCTAACATTAGCCACAAATCACAGCAAAAAGCTAAACAGAAGATTGAATCATTGTGGTTTCACCATCTTCAGTCAATTTGGGTTGGTAACACTTTACAAAACATTATTTTTTGGTTATTTGTATTTTTCTCTGTAATTTGGTCCAGCAGCTTCACAAACTAGACTTCTCTGACTACAAGGCAGGTCACATTGAAGGTATCAGTGTGTATTTTTTATGCATTTTGAACATAACCTGAGTCTTGTATTAATTGAAGTGTGTTTCCTGACATAAAATGTCAACTTTTCTTATTTTTATACAATCGATGTGTTATGTGATGGTACAGTATTGGTGTATTAATGGATTTACATCAGGCAACTTGTCAAGTACATATTATGTCTTCTCATCATTTTCAGTTATGTTCGCCAAGCTTCATTAAAACCATTTTTCTGATATCATATGAGTCTTAAACCTGTGATTTCTGTGTTTTTGTAAATCAGTAAAATAGCACAACTCTTTTGGAGAATTGTTGAAAGGTAACAGTTTTAATGTAACGAACAAGTCATCAACTGCTCAGCGAGGAAGACATATAATGGTTCCCGTAAAGATGAATGACAACATCCAGTGTTACACATGAGATTACAATGAGGGTAGGAAGAACAGAAATGTTGCGACAATTCCAAAAGTGACTGCATTTGTGTGGCGAGTGACGTAAATTCGTGAAAGTGATGCTCCGTTGCATCGCATGCACCCGTTCTCCCACAAAGTAATTTCAAATCCATTGCGAAGAAGCACCGTTTCGGTCCCAAAAAACAAGTCCCTTTTTTTTTAATCCCTTTTATCGTCCCTCCTCAAAGACCTAACATTATTAAAAGGCAGTCCACAAAATGACACGTTAAGCATTGAGAGCTTTGGCCACATCTGTGAAGACCAGTCGACTGGGTCTCTGGGTGGTCCCCTGCGAGGTTCGGAGAGTCTGCGAGAGATATCCATGATTTATAAAAGTCGCACGCGGCCTTTCATCAAAATTTCCATGAATTGCTCTTTCATCAAAATTTCCATGAATTGCTCTTTCATCCATTTCAAATGCATTAAATGGACTCAATGTAATTGCATTATTAAGAGCAGGGGATCTAAAACTTTTCAGGTCCAGGGGGGAAATTTTTCTAAGGATTCCCCTCAAAATCCCTGCCATAGGAATTAAAAAGTTGCCAATTTTCAAGAAAAATGTCAAAATGTTATCCTACTGAATTATCATAGAAGGAAACTACAGTACCGATAGTTATGAAAATTAAGCCATATTTTAAATAAAAACAATGTAAAACTAATCAAAAAGATGTATTTTGTCAGTCTTAGAAAAAGTCAGATGTCTCATAGATAATGTCATAATATTTTGATTTTTTTTTCCCATTTTACTGGAAAAGCACGTCATTACAACTTTAATCCTTGTATTCTCTTAATCGCTAGGACTACATTCTCTGAGAAAAATACACATTTTCTTGAAAAAAACGTTAATCCTTTTACAATAACACAGGTTTTGTTCTTAAAAAAAAGGGGGGAGGGGTTATGTAAGGATGTCAGATTTATGTGATGATTCATCCCAATCGACCAAAGTTAAGGTAGGGAGGGGGAATTGGTTTATTATACAATCCAGCTATAATAATTACACAGGGGCCATGAGGAACATGATAGAAATGATGTGTAGAAGAGAAGATAAGTTATGTGTAATGATGAGAATGACATCATTTATGTTTTTGTTAATTAAAAAAAAAACATGTTCATCCATCCGTCCATCATCCAAAACGTGTATTATCCAAATTATGGCAAATGATATGGAAGGGTGGGGTCAGTAGCAAGTATGAAAGTCATGTGACACACAAGTGATACTTTACCATGTTTGTCTTTTATCATCATGCCTTTGTCAAAACTTTAAAGAAATAAAAGACATGTAAGGTCAACTTTAAAACAAAGAAAATGACGTGTTGCCTAAAATGTAGCACGGCTGGGCGTTCTGGGCATAAAAATCAAAATAACACTGCCAATATTGAACAATGCTACGTACTATGGACATGACAAAACAAATTCAAAGCATTTTTGCATATCAGTGATGAGGAAAGTCTTGCTTTGTTGTTTTGATGATTTCACAGCAGTCGAGCTGATACAGCATAACAGTAAAAAGTACAATTACACACACTTTCCCGGCCAATCCTAGCAGCATCCCTCATTTGGTTTAAAATCTGGGTGGCCGAGGCACATGCACATGCAGGGTTTCACATTGCAAAAGCAGAAAGAGACTGAACACTGAAAGAGACTGAACACTTGACTTACCTTGGCATTGGGACCGGCAAGTGTGCCATCCCGGCAGTGGTCCAGTAGTTCCTGTTCCAGCAGGTCATCTTGTTCTTCAGCCGGGTCGAAGTTGTACATGGGCATGAGCTGGTGCCTCAGCTTCTCCAGACTGCCACGGACAATAGAATGAGGAACATTTTAGACACTGTATTAGAATAGACAAAGATAAGTGCAGGCGGGGGGACCTCAGTTTATAGTTTTTCAGTTGTATATGTGCTGGGGTCGGGGTCATTTGTGATGAAGTGCTGCCTCCACCAATGAAAATACAATTGATGCTTTTGCTGGGCATTGGTGATTCCAGTAACGCGTTAGAGAGTAACACATTATCCTAATATTTCTTCTTTTTTTTTAAGTAATGACTGATCTAACGCATTACTTTTCTCAGTGAAATAATCTAAGAAGAGTTACTTGGCAAAGTCACAACTCGTTACCGTATAGCACCTACCAATGATAACAATTGGCTCACAGAACACTTAACTGCCACTTAACATTCCCATTTTCTATCAAGTGGTATAGTGCTGTTAACTGCCTCTTTGAGTACACCAGTGAATGACATTTGACAACACTTGAAAAGGAATCACATATTTTTCAATCACGGTTTTCTCTCACTCGTGTATGTGGTACAAAACTAATAATTACCAAATAATAAAACACAGGAGACCCCAAGCCAAGATACAAGATAAAGGCAAACATCAAACTACTATACACTACACAACACTAGAAAGCCTTAAAAACAAGTCACCATTTAAGTTAAGTGATGTCCATAGACTACCCCCCCCCAATAAAAATTACTTCTAGTTGTCTTTATTTTATGTTCGACGACAAAAGAAATTATTCTTAAGCATCAGTTAAAACTGTACTTCCCAATTAAGTTCTGTATTGGCAAAGCTGGTAGTCAATTTTATGTTGGGCTGGGTTGTCGCCAGCTGCTGAATGTAACGTTTTATCTAATTTCGTTACTTCTAAAATCAAGTCATCAAGAAAATAACAGTTACTTTTTCAAGGTAATTGTGGCAACACCGATGGACGTTTGCTTTTATCCTCACACTGCGCCATAAACCAAGGTCCACCTGTATAATACAACAACTGAATTAAACATACCGCTTCCGTTTGCGAATATACAGGATCTATGAACGAGAAAGATTGAACAAAGCGAATTAGCAACAGAAGCACTTTTTTGGTTTTGTCAAAATGAAATTCATCCCAACAAACTGAACGTCTTACTAAAGCAAGTGTCAGGCCGATGAGGGCGATGACGCCAAAGGGCAGGAGCACCATTCCCATCCCCGAGCCCTCCATCACCGCCTCCGGGAATGTGGTGCTGTTGAAACTGCTCTCGTTGGCTGGGATGGTGACAGTCATGAACGTCGCAGTAGATGTGACATTGTCTCTCAGTGTGCTCGAGGAGGAGGCCGGCAGTGGGACTGTGGCGGCGGATGGCGCTAGAAACGTCGTTTTGGTTTCAGGCAGGGCCATGGTCAGCTGTTTCAACTGTATCTTGTGTTATTGATTTAGATATCATGTGTTTGTTGTCTCATTGCTGATGGAGCTGTCTTCATGCTAGAAATGACGATGCCTTGGCCAAAGGGATCTTGAAGACGAGCTGCAACACAACAAACAGTGTAATTGCCTCTAAAATCAGCCATTTTCGATTTGATTTGACGTTTGTATGCACTACCTGCTAGTCGATGCTTACCGCATGCTCCCAAAGGAAAATGAAACGGTTCCCGTTGCCGCGATAAAAAAATCCACTACAGTCAAGCATTGATGTGTGCTTTTTTTTTTGTCTTTCTTTTTGATGTGCTCCTTTGTGTGAGATGTGTGTAGTATTCGCCTGTCTTAAAGGCACCACTGAGCGAGACTCAGGCAAAGTAGGAGGCGGTAGAGAGAACTTTTCCGCTTCTGTAAATATCATGTCAAGGAGAAATTTATTTCAACACATTGCCTAGTTTAATTTTGGAGCTTCTAAATTATCAAATGGCTGACTTGAAGACAGTCACAAAAGAGTCAAGACACACTATGAAGCCACGAATGTATGACGTAACTTCTTTCAACTCTGTATTTCCATGTTTTCTGGGTTCTGTTCCAGATTTTAAAAGAATTGTGAGGCAGTTGTATATCGTCTGACATACCTTGTGGATTCAGAATGTAACAATCGTAACGTTTTTTTTTTCTGCTAATGTATTGTCAATTATGTAGAGCAAAATTGTTTTACAAACCAATGCATTTCAAAGGTATAGAAGGGATCTTGTTTGGGGGTGTTGGCATATCACAAACAGGAAGCCCTTGTGACAGCTATTTGTCACTGTTCACAATACAGTCACACACAAACAACTCATTTCAGTAAGGTTATTTTATCTCTGTATTAATTTGCAATATTTTAAACCGTCAAATCTGGTGAGTGATTTTAAAGGGAAAAATATTTTGACTCTCGAACTGGGTCACCATCCGCAGTTTGAGGCAGACGATGTTCACTAAGAATAACGCAAAACTTACTTGGTAATTGAAATCAACGCAAAAGGAGAAAAAAAGCAAGACAAGTGGTGTGCTAGTGTAGTTAGAGTTGCCTTAAAATGTTCATAAAATGTCAATGATTGTGTAGTCTTGTAATACTGTCCAAAATACTGTAATGGTACAACCCAACTCATTCAGCTAAATTTTCAGTGTGTCGTGAGTAATCTTGAGTAAGAAATCCATATAATAAATAAATATAATTCGCATGAGGTGCACAGCTGAGCTGGACCTTACATCCCATCTGAAATTTGGCATCAACTGGGAACACCTAGGATTCCATCAATCAGCAAATTAATTTTCTTTACCACATGTCTTCATCAGTGCTACAGATGAGCTGGAACTGATCTTAGCTGACTTTAGCCAAGAAAAGCAGGATAAACTTTCTTGAAGTCAATTTGTTGGATATCTCGAAAAAGATTCTTTCAAATGATATGTAGCACACTTACATCAGATGATGTCATGTAAGAGTTCAGGTAGAGTGGACATATTCACTTACGACATCATCCCGAAGTCATAAAATTGCAGTAACAAACCTCTTAAGATGATGTCCCAAAGAATACAAACTGGGAAGCTCTCACCCACGTGGTCCTCTCGAAGGTTTTGGCAAGAGGAGATTTAGGACATTAAGCAAAGAAACATAAGTTCTGAATCTCAACACAATGTGACCGATAATTGGTTAACCTTTACGTTGATCGATATAATTGCATTTGTGCTCATTGTTGTGTTAGTCTGATTCAATTTCTGATGTGAACGCAAGAAGAAACAAAACTATAATCTTAAAATGTTTGAATAGCATCTTTCACACGTGGAAACCAGTTCATTCCTATAGTATGCTTCCCTGTAATTCTCTATATCAGGGTTGATATTGTATTTGTTTGCACTGAGGGTTTTTTTTTTGGTTCTTTTTTGTTTGGATTTGATGACTTCATACAGTGTCTGATGGTACCAAGCTGTAAATAGAGAGAAGCATCCGTCTTAAAATGTCTCGACTGTTGATTGAGCGGAGGGACAGCTACAATGACCTTGAACAATTAGAGTATGTGTACTCTACTTGAGTTGCTTTTCAGGTGGGAATTAGGAAACAGGAGTAAACAAAAAGTCGACAAAGGGATAAATATTTCATGTCAAAAAATAGACAAGTCCAACGTAGATTTTGACACACATAGTATATCGTAGTGCCAGTGAGGATGTGGTTGGTAGGTGTTGAGAGCAGGATGTGGGCAGGGGGAAGCATCATAACGAAGCAGATACAAATCTTGAGGAATAGGCTATGCCTGCCCAAACCGTAACTCTGGAGGAAATGTGCTTTTGAAGACAACTCAAATGCCAAACTGACAACCCTCCCACACAAAGACAAGCTCTGGTAATACGTACTTACCGCGTGCAAGTTTATGGCACATTCGATTTAGTTTTAATTGGGGTAACAGCATTAAATGGGTTACGCTAGTCTAGTACAGTTCTTTTTTTTTTCGTGTTTTAAGAAAGATGGTCAGATGTTCATCCCTCTCCTTTGTCCATCCCGTCTGCTTTTAATTGCAAACACGTGCATGCCGAGCTAAATGACCAATGAAAATCAAATGGTGGTGAGCATGCTACATTCTACTATGACGGGTGATATTTTTGTGTATGCCTGTATGATGACGCCATGAGGTGTATACGTACCTGGAGTGCATAACATGCTTGGGTTCTCATTGGGAGAGGCGACATTGAAGTCAATGCCCCTCCTCCCTTAACAACGCGGGCCCCGCACAGCCTGTTTACATTGAAAGGCAGCCATTTTCTCACAGAACGGGAGTCCCATGCCGACGTAAACCCGTCCCGGCAGCCTCTGTGGAGTCCCACACGCTTCCGCCAACGGCTTCCGAGGACGAGTCGCCTCCCCCCTCCCTTTGTATTCTCTTTTTCTTGACGCTTTTTGACACGAGAGAGGCTGCTGGAAGGATGCTGTGTAGGGAGCAGGGAAAATGTGTTGCCGCCCTCCACTCCTCCAGGCAACACGATTGGTCTAACGGCTTGAAAATGCGAGCCGCGGCTGGTTGGCTCGGCTGCTTGTCTGGCTTTGCAGGGATGAGGATGGGATTTAACGGCTCGGCGCACCAGACGCTGTCAGGCCGGTGAAAGTGACTGCATCCGGGTGGCAAAAGCCGAGGAAGTTAACCCCGTGGTGGCGTCCGCGCAGTCTGCTCCGCAATTGTCTTTTGTAATGTTTAAGCACTTAGGTTTACTGTTTTTTTGCAAGGCACGCAAATATTTGTTAGACGCAATGCCATTGTCATGACAATGTATCAAAACAATGAAACTCGGCGGTGTTATGGTGGGTGTCCAAACATTTTGCACACACATCAATACAATGGTAAGGCTGTCAAAGAGCCACGTTTAGCTCTAAAATATGACATCCACTCACATACATTTCACGTACAGTTATTTACCAATCTATTAAACTGTTGGCTGTCTGCAGATGTTTTAACTCCTCAAATGCCAAAACATTGTAATTTAAAGTTTTAAATTAACCAGAATCCAGCTCTGTAATATGGCCAAGGGTATAAAATCCAATCCAAGTATCTTGAACACCTACTCCTGTCTTTAAAAGTTCGTCATCTACTTCTGTTTCTCCTTCTTTTTGGTTTATTAGCAGATTACAGCTCTTTGGTGAATACCACCACCTACTGTGCAGGAAGCGCAAAGTTTCAATGAAAGCAACCCTGCTCCTATTCAATTCAGCCTCGCGAAAAATCACACAAGACAGTTTTGAATATCAATTATTTCACAAAGATTGAACATAAACCCACAACCATAAAGGTTTCTTTGCAAATAAATACACATACATAAAATACTGGACTCAAACACAGATTATAGATTTGTGTGGTCATGGCAAAGTGAAGTGACATCATCCGGTTCCTCCTCCTTCGCCATCACAGTCCCCGCAAAGATCCTATTGTAATCAGGAACACTCATTCTCACACACACATCCCGTATTTTCCGCACTATAAGGCGCTTTGGAGTATAAGAGTGCACCTTCAATGAATAAACATTCCTACACTAAGTAGGGGCTTTTTCAATTTCGACCTGTGCATGGGGACGTGCGTAAATTTATGCATAGCTCTGACAAAACCTTGTGGTTGAACTGTGAAACAACAGAAATAAGAGGTTTGTGGACAACGAGCCAAAATTAAGCATGCGCCTCAATGTCACTCTCAGAGATTCTCGCCGCCCTCTTTGCTATGATTTCGGATTTCTAAAAGGAATTGATGCTTCTTATTTGGAGGCATATGACAGGTGCCCACGTTTTAAAAAGACAGCTAAATTTTTTTGTACTTTTGCACATACAAACAACATTTCAGTCACATGTGCCAAATTAGAACCTCTTCTACTCACTCTGATAAATTAGGCCCCAGCTCGCATTTCCTCAGAAAGTGTTGAATGTTTAATGGCTTCCAAGCTTCTTTGAAAATAACTAGGCAGACTATATAGAAAATGTGATCAATTCCTCGTGCTCTTAGCCACCTTATCTATATCTATATTTATATTGCACTTAATTGAACGGTGTACATTGAAACTGTAACATTTATTTTGTGAATGCGTACACTTTGTTTTTCTTCTTTCTGCTTTCTACCCAATCTTCCTGCTGTAGACTGTAAACTTCCCCAATGTGGGACAAATAAAGGATATCTTATCTTATCTTATATGCATGCATTTTGAACACCACATTAAAGGGGAAGTAATCCCAAGATGTCAAAAGTTTCTGCAATGTTTCAAATGTGCATCATTCAAATTGGTATTATACCTGATATTGCTATCATATACTGTTTTGCACTAATATCAACAAAAAACAAAAACATGTTCAGTCACTCATTTAAAATGCGGTCAGTTATTTAAACGGTAGACTATGGCCATCAGTCTGTGCTTATGCTGGCAAGACTTTAACAGTTTTCAAAAGTAAACAATTATGTGTTGTTGGACAGTCTGTGGCTAGATGGATGGATGGCTTGGAGAGCTGACGATGAGAAGAAAGGAGCGTCAGCGCACAGCGCCGATGCATATGTGGAACTGGGAGTCGTGGCTAGGAATTGAAGCGGATTTACATGGGACAGGAGATGTGAGCCAATCTCTTTTTTCGTCAATGGACGCTCCAGCTTTTTGTTTGCTTTCAAAACTTAGCTTGTAGCAGACGTGTGCACATTTTCAGCATGGCATCCCTGATCCACTGGTGAAAGGACACTTTGATCCTCTCCTCTTTCATCTAGAACTGCTTCAAACAACAAAGTGTATGCAGAAAAGTGGTTAAGATTGAATGACTGTCTGTGTCTTATGTGTTGTGTTGTATTATTTTATGTTATTATGAGTTCAAGATTGTGTCTCGAGAGTGGCTGCCTTTACAGCAGCTCCTATACTTTTTGTTCTACTTTTTGCCTTTCAAGTCAAGTGCTGCTGTAAATTGGGAATTTTTGTTTTGTTTCGTCACATGGTGTTTGTTGTGCTTCGTGTGGACCCGTTGTGGACTGTTTTCAGCGTTTTGGCCACGACCTTTGTTGAAGGAGAAGTATCTGTGCCTGATGGTTGCCCTTTCTCGGCAGCACGCGTGTACCAGCACTGATTTTGATGGCGGGGAATGTCTGCGCTATTTGACTGTCACTGCATGACAGTCCCAGGCCACTTGTGTGTTGTGCAGGATTTTTCACTTCCCCGTTTTGTACAACGGAGATGTTGGCATTGATGCAGCTGGATGGATGACTGCTGAAGCAGAGGAGAAGAGCATCCGCGTAAAGCGCGGATGCGTCTTTGGAACTGAGGGTCAGCGCTTGGAATTGAAGTGGATTTACATGGGACAGGAGAAGTGAACCAATCTTTTTTCTCGTTGAAGGACGCTACAGCTTCTTGTTTACTTTTAAAATCTTAGATAGTAGCAGATGTGTGAGACGTCATGCATGTTTTGAGCATAACGTCTCTGGCACCTCTGGTGAAAGCACACTTTGATTCTCTTTGCTTTCATCTACAATTGATTCAAACAACAAGGCGTATGCAAGAATAGTGGTTACGATTGCATGACTGTCCTTGTCTTATGTGTTGTGTTGTGTTATGTTACCGTATTTTATTTTATGTTAATAATTCTGTCAAGCGCTTTGTTACAGCTGCAGAAAGATGTATTGTATTGCATTGTATGAGTGCTGCAATAAATGAAACAATAAGATGACTGAGAGTCTAATAGATGGACATTTAATCCGCATGCCTTTTATCTTTGCATACCTTTATGGCTGACACAGGTCAGTTCACCAAAGCATTACAGTTAACCATTTTTAACAAAACAGGCTCCCCAAATGTATCTAACCTAACTGGTTTCACTCACTGAAAAAAAAATCTGGACTCAATCATGAGGTGACAGTTCTACATTGCAGGAAGAGGCAGAGTTTTACAACACTTCTCAGAAAGTGGGGTGTTCAAATAAGTTAACAGATTTGTTCTCGAGCTATTTTCAACACTTTAAAATCATTAATAGGCTAACACCTAAAAATAACAGATAATGTGGGGACAGACCAATAGTGTAACACTTGCAGAATCCATCGCTTGCTGCAATTTGTCATCTGACACAACTCAGTGGAGCGGCCTGGTGTTATTATTATCATTATTATTGTGTTTAATTCTTATTCCGTGAATACAATATCCATGTTTTAACGAGTACTTGCACATACTCTTGCTTTAAAAAAATGTGGGTTTAATTGTCCTTTAAGCAAATAGTGGTAGCTGAATTGTGTATTATAAGGAAGTGTATAAGATGTTTTTTAAATATTCAAATTTTAGATGAACAGCAGGGTGTGCTTGTGGTTAGCACATCTCCCTCACACTTCTGAGGTTCTGGGTTTGAATCTTAGCTCTGGCACTCCGGTGTGGCGTTGTGGGATAGTATTCAGCTCACCCAAAACAATGAGGACAAGCGCTATAACACATGGATGGATGGATGAAGTACAGTATTACTTGTACACCTAAAATCATCATAAATGTGGGGGCAAACATGTTTGATCATTTCTTGGATTAAAGCGACTTTAAGGTTTTAAAAGGTGTGTAGTCACCATATTTTTGGGTATTGCATTCACACAAAAGGCCGAGGACGAGCACAGTGTGTGCACTGACCAAGTATACTGGATGATTATACAGTAGGATATCTTTGACTCATTACTTCTAATAGTATGTCCCCAGAGTTGGGAGGTGCCGGCTTTAAAACCTTTTAATGCTTTCAGAGGATGAACCCACTAAACACCCATGAGACATATTTGGATCCTCAATAAGATTCTGATAAGCCATGAGCAGGTGTTCCAGCAGGCCTTACAAAAGCAGAGAACTTAATAATGATAAAAAGTTGTCTAATAATAACTAATAAAATAAAAATAAATAATTAACAAATAAAGGATTTATCTTATCTTATTACCAACGTAAGTGTTGGAGCATTGACAATCTGTCTGTTTGTAACCCACTGGAAGAAGCCACAAATCTCTGCAGGTAGTTGTAGCAAATATTTGAGGTATTAATTTTTTGCTTTTGTACTCTAAAACTTTTAACCATCCTGTGTGCCAAAAATGTCATTGCAAATATGTAAGGTTTACCATTTTTCCTCGATGTGGTGTGTAATGAAATGGTCCAGCACTGGTGTCACAAAAGATAGAGTTCAAATCCAAAGTACAAACTGAAAGTTTTCCCCACTTTCCCAGCCTTCTCTTTCTTCATCCTTCAAGAACTCTTGGGAGGATTCGTCTGGTATCCTCTGCAGCTCCGTCATCACAGCCACAAATCTTGTTCCCCTAATGACCTTGAGTTCTTTCCCCAGATCAAGGTCATGGGGTGGATCACACAGCGCCAAATTGGGTGAGTATGTTCTTTTACGCCAAGAACTGTCAGAAGTTCAGGGTTATGTGAGCAGACATGTCATAGTGAAGCAGCCACAAATCTTGTTTTTTTTTCTCAAGCAGAGCAATCACATTCAGATCTGTCTGTATAACTTCGTAGATCACCTGCCCCAAATTGTTGGGAAAAACTCATAGTTCGGGTTTGAATTCTATCATTTTTTACACACCTTACCTGTGAATTAAATGTATTAAGCAAAAGGAAAAACTACTTAAATAATGTGTTTTAATTTGACCAAACTTTAGCTTTGAAATGACTCAAACTACTATTGTGTTCAGACTTGCATAAAAATGTGTCATACATCCCCACCGTAAGAACGGAACTCCGTCGTAAACCGAGGACACCCTGTAAACTGTTGTGCCCAAATAATTTTGGACGTAACAATAGAGTTAATCAAACTTATTAGTGAGTTTTGTGCAAGTAGAAACATTATTAGTGTTCCTCAAGAAGTGTTATTTTCAGACTTAGCTACAGGGACCACCGGTGGAGGCTGATTGCTTTTCTTGCTGCAGCGTGGGGTTTCCCAGCTAAGACTGCAGGGTCACCGCGCCCATCTCGACGTTCGATGGCCGGACGAGAGTGCTTCTTCGTCTGCAAAGGGCACGCGTTCGACTCGGCATAGTGGCGGGGTGAGGGGGCGGTATGTATGTGGTAGTGGTGAACTAGTGCGAACGAACTTTGAATCTTCGACTTTTTGGGGGGTCTGCCTTTGTTCTGAGCGAGGCTTGTGGGTGTGATTTACCCCCCCTCCCCTTTTCTCCCTCCTCCCTCCCTCATCTCCGGTTGGTCGACTGTTGGGCTGGCTGCTTCCTCGGCAAAGCGACGCTAGCTGGGGCTGGCTAGTTCTTGAGCTAGCGGTGGGGTCTCTTCGCTGATTTTCGTGGGCTCGTCTCTTTTCCCGGTCAATGCCAAAAAACACATTGACTCAGGTAAGGTGAAATAGAGCGATTTCATTGCTGTATTGATTAGCCCCTAATCATCTTGTGTGGGGTCGCGTACTGTGGCCGAATTAAGCCGCTCGGGGGTGGGGTAGCGCTAGCTTTAGCCTCTTAGCCATTTAAGTCAGCTGCTGTCTCAACACAAGCGCCCAAAGGTGCTTACTAAAACAATACGACAAATATAATCCATGTGTATACGCGTAAAGCAGTGGAGATTTTATATTTTCCATCATTAGGTGTACCGTTAACCAGCCCTGGCTCGGTGTCACCCATGGCCGAACCGAGGGCTCTCCTCTCCGGCCTCCCCCCTCCCCACCTCACAGAACCTGATAAAATCTACAAGAATAATCCAAACTACATAGAGTGAGACCAACCCTACAATGTTGACAATTCAAAACTCATGTTGGTTACTTGCAATTGCAGTGATTTGTGTGTGCGCGCGCGCACATGTCTGTGCACATATATCTATCGATATATGTATTCTTAAAATGCACGGTTGGCGACGACAGGACTGGGTTGTGTTCGTGTATAGTAGAAATAATAGTATATGCTGCCTAATTAGTTGTGCTTATTTGGTCGCAGTAACTGCTCTTTACGAGTAGTTACGTGCAGAAATTTGAGCGTTAAGTGTCACCGGAGGTTCTTCGTGGCGTAATGAATGTGAATTGCGGCGTTAACACCCTTTTTTGTGTTGGAAGGTAGCATATCGGCTGCGACCCCGTGCTTTGAATCTCGCATTTAAATTTTAATATTTTTCGAAGTAAAAATGTTGAGACGAGATACGTGGTCGTGTGCCCCGCTTGGTTGAAGGGGAAAGTCAGGGCAGTATTCGCCACCCAGCCCGATCTTGCTCATCAAGAATTGAGATGCGCAAATAAGCACCCCGACGGTCGTAATTGTATCAAATGGATGCCGTATGCCTTAACGAGATTGTTTAGTGTGCAAGTAAGTGGATTTGTGCAGAGCCGGTGGCCTCGCCGGAACCCTTTTAACGAAGCGTCTCCTCCCTAACACTAGCTTTTAATGGCAAGTCGCTGTAATTACGCAAGGACGGAAGATATTTTCTTTGATTGCAATGTGTTTGAATTCTAGCGTGTCATAAGACTGAATGTAAAATTAAAAGTGTATATTATGTCGGGCTGAAAAGGAATGATCCGTAGCTGCCGCTTGCAGGCCGCCCCACAACGAGCCACATGCTAAGCTAACTAGCGGACAGACAAGTCAGGGGGAAGGCAAAATGGCGTTTAGCTGTATCTCTCTGAATAGCACTGCAAGTCCCGTAGCTCGACAACCGTGTGCCATCTAGAGAGTAGAGCCTCAAAGTTTTTTGCTAAATGTTCTCAGGTTTAGTAATGTAGCTCTCCTAGTCTTGACAGATTAGAATGGACAGTTATCCTGCAGGTATGCAAATACAATGCAAACAATCCCAGTTGTGGGTATATCACTGTAGTGCACACCGTGGGGCCCAGATCAAGTGTCATTGTTTGGTTAACTGCACGGAAATGAAATAAAATATTAAAATGTCTGTCAGTGTACAAACATTGTCAATATCCGAACTGAAATAAAACAAACAAATACATGACTGGAATCAAGGAAAAGACATAAAAAAGTGGAAATTATGTGATAGCTATATTGTTGGTGAACAAATCCAGGCAATTGTCATAAGCAGGTTGAGTGTAAAAGAATTAAGATCAAAATCAGCCTTTTTATGAATGGAAAAGCATATTGCCTTTGCCCCGCATGGCTTCGCCAGCTGTTCGTGTTGCTGGACATGGATAGGATTACACACTCATTCACTCATTGACTGAGGATTTGAGCTCTTTGGGATTAAGGATTTTGCACGATGATATTGCTGGTTATGACCCCCCCGCCTCTCACACACACACACACTGAGATCCAGCTTCAGCCAATTTAAACATTTTCATCATTTAACACTGGGTGACATGACATTTAGACCACTCAGTCACTGAGCAGACTCACTGAATTCAACTGGTGAGGCGATCGCAGAGCAGCCGGTGAGCTCCCAACTCCCAAGCTGTTTACTAGCGCTCATTGTTTATCAGGCAGTCAGCTGACCCTGATCAGGCGCTTGGGAAAGAAGAAGTGATGAGGGAGAGGAAGTGCAAGCATCCACAGAGGTCAATGGGGAAATAATATATGCTCACAGCGCTGTGCAAAGTCTTAACTCACTACTTGCATTGATTAATTCTGTACCTTTTTCATAGGGATTGTTTAGATCGATACACCAGTAAATTTCGACAAATGACTGTTCAAAATCAACAAAAACAATTTGCTTAAAACTTTGTGCTGCATGAGACAAGGAGGAGAAATGGTGTCAATATGCATAAAAGGGACAGATACAGGTATGTGTCTAATGTCTCATTCGAGCTATCAAAACGTGTGTGCGCGCGTGTGTGTGTGTGTGTGTGTGTGTGTGTGTGTGTGTGTGTGTGTGTATACCGTATTTTCACGACCATTCGGCGCACACGTTAGCTTGAAGCATACAGTAGCATTCATGCACGCTAAAACATACCAGGTATGTTAGCTTAAAGCATACGGTAGCAGCTAAGACATACGGACACACGCTAAAAACACGTTTTTAAAAAGGCAACGAAAGCAAAACTGAGTTCGATTGTACTTTATTTAGCCATTTTACAACGTACTCACGCGACTGGTACCTGCTAGGGGCGTGCCTTTACCGGCCTCTTACACGCCTACCCTTCCACTCATTGTCGACTGGTCCCTGCTAGGGGCGTGCCTTTAGCGTCCTCTTACACGCCCACTCTTCACTCATTGGCGACTGGTACCTGCTAGGGACGTGCCTTTAGCGTCCTCTTACATGCCCACCCTTCACTCATTGGCGGACTTCCGCATGCCTGTCGTCACTCATGTCCGCCTTTTCTCTGTATAAACAGCGTGTCGGCCAGAAGTGCT